CCATAACAAGGGGATACTAGCAAAAGAGAATTCGTCGGTGTGACAGAATGCAATGCTGTGATGGCAGATATTAGTGGTTGGTGGATCGACTCCGGTGTAACTAGGCATATCGCAAAGGATAAGAATGGAGTCATATAATTCATCGAGTTGAAGAAAGAAGAATAGAGAATCTATATGGAAAATAATACCTATCTCGATGTAAAAGGTATTAGTTCGTATAGATTAGATCTTGGGGACAGTGTTCTTGTCCTCAAAGATGTGTTTTATGCGCTAATAATTCGGCGTAATCTGATATCTGTTCCTAATTTGATGTAGAAAGGGCTGGAAGTTAGGTTCTATAATAACCGGGTTTCTATAGGCAAGAATAATAAAGTGTATGCTATGAGAAAATATGTGCCCGAGCATGAATTATACATTCTACCAGTAATTTATAATAATTTTGATAATAAAACTTCGAATTTGAATTAGTTGTCCTATTATATTTCTGAGTCTGAATTGTGACATTCTAGACTAGGACATGCTAGTATTTCAAAAATAAAAAAATTTATCAGAATGAGCTTGCTTCCTGTACTATCTAATGTCCAATTGCCACAATGTGAACATTGTTTAACGAGTAAAATAATTAGAAAACCTTTCATTAGTGGACAAAGAGCCAATGAACTTTTAGGGTTGATACACTCGGATATTTGTGGTCCCCTAAGTGTCAAAACTCATAGTAATAAAGAATATTTTATTACTTTTATAGATAATTATTCCAATTTTGTACACGTATATCTTATATCCAGAAAATTAGAAGCTTTTGACTGCTTTAAGAGGTATAAGACAAGTCGAAAACCAAATTGGATTGAAAATCAAAATTTTGAGAACTGATAGAGGTGAGGGATATAACTCTAAAGAATTTGGGAGTTATTGTATTCAGCATGGAATTAAAAGATATACAACAATGTCGTATACGTCACAACAGAATGGTGTTGCTGAAAGAAAAAACAGAACATTGCTGAATGTAGTTAGATGCATGTTGTCTCATTCTAGTCTTTCTAAAAACTTTTGGGAAGAAGTATTGTTAACTGCAAACTACATTATAAATAGAATTCTCACCAAATCAGTTGTATCTGCACCTTATGAATTATAGAATGGGAGGAAACCTAATTTGAGTCATCTCACGAAGTGGGGATCTATAGTCCATGTTCTCATTCCATGTCAACTTAGAGATAAGTTAGATTTTAAAACAATAAAGTATAGATTTATAGGGTATTCAGAAAAGTCAAAATGTTATAAGTTCTACAATAAAAAAAGGAGTCATTGAAAGTAGAGATGCTATATTTTTAGAGAATCTAGAGGAAGAGGAACAAGTTCGAGAGGAAACAGAACCTCTAACTGTAATAGATGATGATTATTACAGTGTTATTCCCACTAATGATCCTGATATTATGAATGAACCTAACCTTAAAAATGATGAAATACCTATGAAAAATCATGTACCTAATAAACTGGTTATAGGCAACAAAAGGGCAAGAACACAATCTTCATGGATGAATAATTGATGCTAAATATCACATAGCCAATTAAAGTCACAAAGTTTATAAAAAAAAGAGGGGGGGGGGGGGGGGGGGCTTTCTTCTTCGACTTTATGCCTGATTCTGAAATTAAGATGACCGAGCAATTTGCACACAAAGAGTCGTAAGAGGACGGGGATCAGTTCCCCCATAATACCTCCAACGATCAAGTCAGTTAATGAATTTGAGCTTAAGTGGAGTAATAGAACTATGTGTTCTTATGTTATGTGCATTAGAGATGATGATCTCTGAGATTGAGAGTTTATATTGCGAACCAACCCTTTGCTAACTCGAATAGTAGCTGTATATAAAGAGGATGTCAATGATAGATTGGTCATTTTGACCATGTAAATGGTGGTGACAAAGTGTGAGCTGGAAGGTGAGTCATCCTTTGTTCTACATGTGTCGGCTAACGACAGAAGGAAGATCACTTCGGTCTTGATTTGAGGAGCAGTTGATGGGACGTGGGCTGATAAGCGGCTTGATGACGCATGGTCTTTGAGTAGACATGATATGACTTGTTATCAGGATGGATAAGTTTTGGCGAAGTTATCTTCTAGTTTCACTAAGAAGCAATATCCATCATGATGGGACTCGCGATGAGAGTCAACTCATTGAGAGGAGTGACGACTCGAGGAGTGCTGGCTGAATAGAGTCAGGTGACGACTCGTCCCGCCTTCCGAGTCGAGATGGAGGAGTATCAACTCGACTGGGTCGACTAGCTCTTGGCGAGTTGCTTGCTGCGAGAGGGCCGACTGGTACCGCCTTTCATGTCGACATTGATGAGTGTTGACTCGTGTGGTCGGCTGAGTCGGACTGCTAGCTGATCTCTGGCTATCTCTCCCGTCGGTCGAGATGTCGACTCGTCTGGGAGGTCAGGATATCTCGTACCGATTAGCACCGCTTCTCGTGTTAACACTGGGGTATCAGTTTGTCTGGTTGGATGGAGATGGCGACTCATCAAATCATATATTTGGAAACAGTTGTATCCCATAACATGAATGATTACTATTTGTATTCATGTGAGCCATCCTATTTCTCGGTAGATACAAATATTAAAGAACAAGATCCCTTAACCTTTTCTGATGCGATAAAATCACATGAATCAACTTTATGACTAGAATCTATGAGAGAAGAACTTGATTCTATAGAAAAAAAATAAGGTATGAGAATTATGTGACCTACCAGAAAATAGAAAAACCATAGGATGCAAATAGGTGCTCAAAAATAAATTACGTGTTGATGGATCTATTGATAAATTCAATGAACGGTTCGTTGCCAAGGGTTATAACCATAAGGTAGGAATAGATTTTTAGGAGACGTATTCTCCTGTAGCTAAATTTATATCCATTAGAATTATTTTAGCTATTGTTACATATCTTGATTTGGAGTTATTTCAAATGGATGTTAAAACAACATTTCTTAATGGAGAGTTGAAGGAAGCGATATATATGCAATAACCTGAAGGTTTTCAGGTAAAAGGATAGGAACATAAAGTTTACAAATTAATGAAATCTCTATATGGTTTAAAACAGTCTTTTAGGCAATGATATCTCAAATTTCATGATGTAGTCACTAAACTTGGTTTCATTCAAAATAAATTAGATAATTGTGTATATGTCTTGAAAAGTGAGAACAAGTTTATTATATTATCCTTATATGTGGATGATATATTGCTCTTTGGAAATGATATAGAAATATTAAATAAAATCAAGGCAGATCTCAGCGAAAAGTTTGAGATGAAAGACATGGGAGATGCATTATAAATTCTTGGAATTCAAATAATTCGAGATAGAAAGTCTAGAATGCTATGTTTAAACTAAGAAAAAATATTTAAGATCAGTTCTTAAAAGGTTTGGAATGGAGAATTCCAATCCGACGCCAACTCTGTTGATTATAGGAAAGAGATTAGTTAAAGAGCAAAGACTTGGAGAGGGGCAGAAGCCATTAGATGTGCCTTATGCTTAAGCAATTGGAAGTTTGATGTATGTAATATTGTACATCAGACCTGATATAGCTTATGTTGTGAGTCTAGTTAGTCGATATCAAAGTAATCCAGGACTAACACATTGGGAAGTTGTTAAAAGGATTATAAAGTACATCAGAGGTATATTGACTCATAGATTAGTTTATCAAGCTGATTCGCTTGAACTCCTCGGTTATTCCGATGCTGATTTCAGAGGTGATAAAGATGATAGAAAGTTCACTTCGGGATACTTATTCATCTTTGGAGGAGGAGTTGTTTCTTGGAGTAGTAAGAAACAATGGTGTGTTCCTAAATATACGCAAGAAGCTGAATATATAACTTGCAGTATGGCAACTACACATACTGTCTGGATAAGACGGTTTTTGATTGATTTTGATCTCAATTTGTTAGAAGGGCCTATTGATATTTATTGTAATAATCAAGCAACAATTAGCTTAATCAATAGTGGCGCAAATAGCTCTAAAGAAAAACATATTGAGATCTAGTATCACTATATTCGAGATATTGTAAAAAAAGAAGAAGTCAAAGTGACTTATATCCCTACTATAGATATGATTGCTGATCCTTTAACAAAAGGAATACCAGTAGAATCTTTTATCAAACATGTAAGTTTGATAAGACTTAGGAATAAATAAGTCCGAGTAAAATTTCATGAATAATAAAATAAGAGTTACTCTCTACGGATAGTGGGAGTAATGATAAAGAGAAATATCTGATCTCACGGATAGTGAGAGGCATATCATTTGGTTAATTTGGTCGAGTGGGAGATGTTACATTGACTCGGTCCTGTGTGACCAAATCAACGATTCTCAGTAAAGAGAATTGTGGAAAACGTGAAAACGTGGAAATGTTATTGAGAGAAAATCTCTCATGGGGACGGATCTGAAGGGATGGTGATAGTGGGTTTAGTCCTTATAAATGGAGGAGCAATTCTCCTTCAGAAATCACAACAAAAACAGAGAAAAACCTCTTACCAATTACCGGAAGCCCCCTCAAAATCCATCGCTCTTCTCTGTTTTCGATTAAAAACTTCAATGGAAGTCCCTAATGTATTGACCAAATATCATTTGGGTCCTTTTTACAAATTTTTGTTAAATCTTGTTGACACGACGATGACATGGCAAGGAAAACATGTAATTTCACTATTTTTTTGCTGATGTGGCAGGGTAAGTTCGGACTTTCACTAATTCCTTTTTTGCTAATAAGGCAATGACATGGCAGAGCCACGTCACCACCACGTAAGCAAGATTTAACAACACTTGTAAAAAGGACTAAAAGTGATAACAGAGGTACTGATGAATTTCAAACTAGGAGGGTTTATACCTGCTAAGAAATGTGTGGAAGTTTCTGATTCCAGTGACTAGTTTAGGTTTTTTTATTTTTATAAATTGACCCTTTTATACTTGGCGTTGCAAATAACTACCTCAAGTTTTGTATTGATTTTGCTGGTTTTGCAGGCTTTTTGTTTGGAGAAGGAGAGCGGAGCCAAGTGTTATACGTTATGTGCAAGGGATCTGGGGATCGCTTGGGGTGATGATGAGCGTTACTGGAGATGGGTTTTTCACCCTCGCTCAAGGTGCATATATATAGAATCTTGAGTTCGATTTTAAGTTAGAAAATTATTTTTATTTACGCGTTTGATTTCCTTGAAGTTTACTGAGCTGTAGTTATTTTAACGGTGAATGTTACAAAACTAAGACCTATTAGAGATTTTGCAATTGTTATAGAAAACTAGCATCAACTCTTTTTACTAAAATATCTTGACTAAGTGATGTTAGTTGTATGATAAGCACACACACCCTTTATGAACCTTTGCACTTATAGAAGTTTAGATTCACTTAACATCATGCTACATGAAGTTTTTGTTGGATGTTTTGTTCATGAAGAGACAATTTTACCTTTGTGGATAGTCCCACATTGGAAAAAGGAGATGAATAGTATAAGGTATATAATGGTTCTTTTCTTATTGGGTTTTGAATAGTATTTTGGGTTTTGTGGGCTTTGCACATCTATCTCACACACGCGCCCGCGCGCACGCCTCGCCCGCGCCGCACCGCACACGTTTTTGCTTTTCAAGCTTTTATTTTGCACATTTTACACGTTTTGTAACGGCTGCATGCGGATAACGAAAGCGAGATTCGTGCGTAACGGTTCCTTTGATTCAGCGGGGGTTACACTTCTCCTCACCTATATAAGCAGCCGTAGACCTCATTCAGATATACAACAACGAGAAGAACAACCTCCAAAGCTCTCTTTCTCCACTCTCTTTTCTCCCAAGTTATTTCGGCTACACTTTTACATTTATATTTTGGGCAACCGTTTTCGTCTGAGCATAAGCTCTGTGACTCACGGCCGAGCGCAGAGGTCGGCTGATTCCGGGGTTTTTACCGCTAGGGGAGAAGGGACAGATTGCGCTAGGGTGATAGGCGGGTCCTCAATTTTCTAAAGCAGTGGCATCACGACTGCTCCCGATCAAGCCTGAATTTTCTAACTCTTTAATTTGGATTTTATATTATTATTATATTCCTGTTTTGACAGTAGTTTTTTCTTTAACTATTAGGTTAATTGTAAGTGAGGTGTTCGAGTGTTCATGCAATTACTAAGTACTTGATAATACAAATCAAGTAGAATTGTATATCCATCTTTTCTATTTTTATTTCTGGGTGAGGGCCACAAATGTATATCCATCTTCTGGAATCAGGTTTTCTGAAGTTGCAGAGCTCCGAAATGTTTGGTGGTTCGACATTTGTGGCAAAATCAACTGTAGAGAACTCTCTCCTAACAAAACCTACAAGGCGTTTTTCATATTCAAACTGACTCCTCAATCATATGGCCTAAAATATCCTGCTCAACAAGCGTCAGTGAGACTCGGATCCCAAATCTCAGAACAAGATGTGTGCTTAAATCCCAGTGAAGAGGATTTCCACGCGCACCGTGAACACAATGTGTGAAGGAATTTCAACATCAGCAGCAGAATCAGGAAAAACAGGCGGCGGTCGACCGGTCCGGTCGACCGGATTCGTGCACAAGGAGGTCGGTCGACCGGCCCGGTCGAGAGATCTAGAGCTTTGTTTTAGGGTTTGGTCTGAGAGATTTGTAACCCTATTTGTATTCTCTTGATTTCTAGTAGAAAGAACTCCCCCCTCCTTGCCCCGTGGACGTAGGCAACTTGCCGAACCACGTAAATTGTGTGTTCTTGCTGTGATTGTGGTTTGCATATTGTTTGTGGTTTAGTTCGAGTTATTGTTCGTGTTGCCCTAGAAAGCTTCCGCCGCGCACAACAATTGGTATCAGAGCTAGATCGACAACATGGGAGATGCAAGCACGTCAGGTTCGTCTCTAACAAAGGCGATACAGAGTCTGAGCATCAATAACACGAAGATTGATGTTCCGAAGTTCGATGGCAAGATCAATTTTGGATTGTGGAGGTGTCAGGTGATGGATGCTTTGGATGCACAGAATTTGGAGGAGACTCTTGAGTTAAAAGAGAAACCCGCTGAGTTGGAGGATAAGGTTTGGAGAAAGATGAACAGTAGAGCTTGTGGTGTTATTAGGTCATGCTTGACGCCGGATCTTATTTATGATGTTATGAACGAGACGTCGGCGAAGAAGATGTGGGAAACACTCAATGAGAAATATCTTACGAAGAGCATTGAGAATCGGCTTCACTTGAAGAAGAGATTTTACCAGTTCAAGATGAAGAGAGGGGTTTCCATCAGGGAGCATGTCAACAATTTCACTAAGCTACTTTCAGATATGGCCAATGTTGATATTATAGTTGAGGATGAAGACAAGGCGATGCTACTTCTGTGTTCGTTGCCCGAAGATGATTATGGTACGTTCGTTCTCACTATGATCAATGGAAGAACTACAGTTAGCTACAAGGAGGTGACCTCAGCTTTGGTGAACTATGAGTTGAGGAAGAGTGATGGTGAACCCTCCGAGAAGGCATCGGGAGATGCGTTAGCAGTTCGAGGCCGAGATCCAAACCGTCGTCAGTTCAACCGCTCAAAGTCAAAGAATAGGAGTGCCTATAAGAGTGTTGGTAGAAATCAATGTCGGTATTGTAAAGAAGAAGGACATTGGAAGATTGACTGCCCAAAGTGGAAAGAAAAAGCCGGAAAGAATAAGGGGAAAGCTGCACAAGCTTCAGAAGTGAATGTTGCAAAAGCTATTGGTGAGCATTCAGATTCAGATTCTTCAGGCTATTCATGCCCTGCTTTACCGTCGGTTTGCTATGCGGATTCCACGGAGTGGATGATGGATTCGGGAGCTACATATCACATCTGCCCTAAGAGGGAGTGGTTTTCTAGCTTTGAGGAGCTGGAAAAAGGGGATGTCATGCTTATTAGTAATGATCACGTATGCCCTATTGGTGGTATTGGTTCAGTCCGGATCAGGATGCATGATGGTGTAGTAAGGGAATTGAAGGAAGTGAGGTTCGTGCCGCAGTTGACGAAGAACATCATTTCTCTTGGGACTTTGGAGGCAGCAGGATATCGAGTGATCTTAGAGGATGCTACAGTGAAGGTCACGAAGGGTTCTATGGTGGTGATGCGAGGTGTCAGGGAAAACTACCTATACTACTTGAAGGGCAAGACAGTTACAGGGGGTCTGGCAGCTTCTATCACTACAGAGGAGGACACTACCACCTTATGGCACATGAGACTTGGACACACAGGAGATAAGTCCCTACAGTCATTGGCTAAACAGGGGCTATTGAAAGGTGCTAAGACCTGCAAGATGGAATTGTGTGAGCATTGTGTACTTGGGAAGAAGACTAGAGTGAAGTTCGGCACCGCTGTTCATAACACCCAAGGTACATTGGATTATATTCACACGGACGTTTGGGGTCCTTCCAAGAACACATCTCTTGGTGGGGCCAACTATTTTGTCACTTTCATTGATGATTATTCCAGGAGGAATTGGGTATACCCGATGAAGCATAAACATCAGGTCCTGGATATTTTTGTGGAGTGGAAAAAGAAAGTGGAGCTGCAGACAGGTAGAAAGGTGAAGACTCTACGTTCAGATAACGGTGGAGAGTACAAGAGTGATCCGTTTCTGCAGTTTTGCCGGGATCACGGCATTAGAAGACACTTCACAGTTCGAGAGACACCGCAACAGAACGGGGTGGCTGAGAGATTGAACCGTACCTTGCTGGAGAAGGTGCGGTGTATGATGACGCAGAGTGGATTGCCTAGATCTTTTTGGGCCGAGGCGTTGGTTTATGCGAGCCATCTTGTGAACAGGTTGCCGTGCACTGCGATAGACGGGAAGACTCCTTTGGAGCGTTGGTTTGGTTCGGTGGCTAGTGACTATGAGTCGCTTCGGATATTCGGGTGTCCAGCTTATTATCATGTCAGTGATGGCAAATTAAATCCGAGAGCGAGGAAAGCAGTCTTTGTGGGATTTAGGGATGGAGTCAAAGGCTTCAAGTTATGGGATCCACAGGACAAGAAGATAGTTATTAGCAGAGATGTCACATTTGACGAGGCGTACATGATGAGGCCTCGAGCCCCTCAGCAGGTGGAGGGAGACCAGACAGGAGAGATATCGCAGCAGGTGGAGGATGATGTGACTCCACCCACTCCAGAGAACACTGTATCCATTGAGGCTCCTACAGAGGTGACACTGGGAGGAGATGAGGTGATAGTTGGGCAGATAGAAGATACAGTGGATCATGGGACTCAGGAACAGGGTCATGTTCAGAGGACCATTGCAGCAGATAGACCGAGGAGAGAGATTCGTCGGCCAGCTAGGTATAATGATGTCATGGTCGCATATGCATTATCAGTGGAGGTCGTTGATGATATGGTTCCAGCCACATTCAGGGAGGCAGAGTCTAGCCCCGATTCGATCAGGTGGAGGGAAGCTATGGAGGAGGAGATGCGGTCTCTTCAGAAGAACGACACTTGGACACTTGCACATCTACCTAAGGGTAAGAAAGCTATTGGTTGCAAGTGGGTATATGCGAAGAATGAGGGATCTTCTATTGGGGACATTCGGTTCAAAGCCAGATTAGTTGCCAAGGGATATGCACAGCTTGAGGGCATTGATTACAACGAGGTATTTTCACCCGTTGTGAAGCATTCGTCGATTCGGATTTTATTGGCGTTGGTGGCACAGTTGGATTTGGATTTGGTCCAGATGGATGTGAAGACAGCCTTTCTACACGGTGATTTAGATGAGGAGATCTACATGACACAACCACAGGGTTTCAAAGCTGCAGGAAAGGAAAATTTGGTTTGTAAGCTGAAGAAGTCTCTTTATGGTTTGAAGCAGTCACCAAGACAGTGGTATAAGAGATTCGACGGCTTTATGATTGGCCGAGGGTACACAAGGAGCCCATATGACCCATGTGTTTATATGCACAAGCTACAGGATGGTGAGCTCATATATTTGCTTTTATATGTTGATGATATGCTTATTGCTTCCAGGAATTCTTCAGCTATTCGAAAGCTGAAAAAGGAGTTATCATCCGAGTTTGAGATGAAGGATCTTGGAGAGGCAAAGAAGATATTGGGTATGGAGATCGAGCGAGACAGGGTGAAGGGGAAATTGAAGCTTACAGAGACATGGTGAAGGGGAAATTGAAGCTTACACAGAAGAGCTACTTGCAGAAGATGTTGAAGAAATTCAGCTTTGATGGCAATGCAAAAGCAGTTAGCACACCATTGGCTCCCCACTTCAAGCTTTCAGCGTTGATGTCACCAGTTTCAGTTGAGGACAGAGATTATATGTCGAAGGTCCCATATGCTAGTGCAGTAGGTAGATTGATGTATGCGATGGTGTGTACGAGGCCAGATTTGTCACAGGCCGTGAGCATGGTATCGAGATACATGCATGACCCCGGGAAGGGTCACTGGGAGGCCGTGAAGTGGATTCTACGGTATGTTCGAGGCACCGTGGATGTTGGTTTAGTGTTTCAGAAGGATGAGAAGGATGGGCAGGCTTGTATTGGTTATGTGGATTCAGATTATGCTGGAGATCTTGACAAACGCCGGTCTACGTCAGGTTATGCTTTTACATTGGCAGGTGCACCTGTATGTTGGCGTTGCACGCTTCAGTCCACAGTGGCTCTCTCTACTACAGAGGCAGAGTATATGGCAGTTACTGAAGCTATTAAGGAGGCTTTATGGTTGCGTGGATTATTGGAGGACTTGGGGATTGCACAGGAGACTATTCGGATATATTGTGATAGTATGTCGGCTATCTATTTGGCAAAGAACCAGGTTTATCATGCGCGCACAAAGCACATCGATGTCAGATTCCACTTTGTACGGGACGTCTTGAATGATGGAGATGTCATATTGGAGAAGGTCCACACAAATGACAACCCTGCAGATATGTTGACCAAAGTTGTTTCAGGAGTGAAATTTGGTCATTGTTTGAAGTTGTTGAACATCCTTCAGTGCTGAGGCCGTTGGCGGCCATTTGGGTGAACTACGTTCGGCTTGATTCCTTGGGCAAGAGGATACGTAGGCAGTCTTTAGATGCAGCCGGTTTGATCAGTTGATCAAGATGGGGGGAGATCGTGTTTCAGCTCGAGTATTGTTCCTGGACCTGTTGAGGAACTATTGGATGGTTTGGTGTCGGCTCAGTTTTGGTGGAAACATTCGCCGAGGTGGAGAATTGAAGGAATTTCAGCATCAGCAGCAGAATCAGGAAAAACAGGCGGCGGTCGACCGGTCCGGTCGACCGCATTCGTGCACAAGGAGATCGGTCGACCGGCCCGGTCGACCGACGGTTCTCTGGAGTTTGGGTTTTCTACTGAGAGCTGGTCGGTCGACCGGGCCGGTCGACCGGAATTGATCGCGGTCGACCGGGCCGGTCGACCGACGAAGCGGATATCAGTTTTTCAGGTTTTCGACCCGGTTCGTTTTGTAAGTTCTATATATACCTAAACCTGTTTGTTTAGGGTAGAGGTTGGACGAATTTGAGCAGCCAAAGAGAGAGAATCATTGCATCCAATTGGGAGAGAGCTTTGAGAGATCTAGAGCTTTGTTTTAGGGTTTGGTCTGAGAGATTTGTAACCCTATTTGTATTCTCTTGATTTCTAGTAGAAAGAACTCCCCCCTCCTTGCCCCGTGGACGTAGGCAACTTGCCGAACCACGTAAATTGTGTGTTCTTGCTGTGATTGTGGTTTGCATATTGTTTGTGGTTTAGTTCGAGTTATTGTTCGTGTTGCCCTAGAAAGCTTCCGCCGCGCACAACAATGTGTCTGATGAGTTAAGAGTTCCATATGAGAGGAACGATGGATGGATGGAAATAGAGATGGGGGAGTTCTTCAATGAGGATGGAGATGATGGAGAGGTGAGCATGAGATTGAGGGAAGTGAAGGTTCTAGGTTCAAAGCATGGGCTCATCATTGAGGGCATTGAGGTGAGGACTAACTGAATGAAAAATCACTGCAAGAGCTGGAATTTTATGATGGAGTAAGAGATGCAATCTAGATTTTATTAGTTCCTGACGGTGTTTGTTGCTAATAACCAGAAGTTTATGCAGTTGTAAGTGTTTCTAGTAGAGCCTACCCTATTCCTTGCACGCTTAATTAACGTCTTTGCATTAAATGTCATCACATGTGTGTACAATAAGAGGGGCTTGTACTCTTTTTGTATGGGAATGTTGTTTGTATTAGTGTATTTTATTGATTTTCCTACGGTTTTGCGATGCTGTGTATGGTCTTTAATATTGCATATGGACGGCATTTTCAACAATAATTGTGTTACCAAACGATCTTGAGTAAAAGAACTCGTAAACAGTTTGTCCTAGTATTATTTGTGATTGTTGCCTATTAAAACCATTTGGTCTTCTTCAGGGCCTTTTAGGCTGTTTACCAGAAATCTGCTAGCTTTGGACGATTATCAGATAAACCCGTAACTTTCAGATATCAGAAACCCCCCTTAAATTGGGCGTAATAAGAAATCCACTTTAGATTTTACGTGGAAAACCTCCCTAACAAGCTAAGTATCAGGAAATTGCAATTTTCATGGGTGGGCAAAGTGTTCTGGTAGGATATTTTTGCCGGTAAAAATTTCAGTTCATTAGAGGGTTTACTAATAAAATCTTAAAGTTAAGGCGGTTTTTTGATAACCCCTAATTTTAAAAAGGTTTTCTGACATTTTGATAGTTAGGGGATTTTTTTTTCTGATATTAAAGTCCTGCAGTTATTATCACAACTGATAATAACAAAACGATAGTCCCCACTGTGGAGATCAGCACATACCAGAACATAAGCAGGACAAACATTTACTTTGTGCATAATGACCAAAATTATAAAAGTTGCGTGTGCCCATATATGTGGATATGTTAATGTTCTCTTTTTGCACGTATGAAATTGTGAGGTTATACAGTTAACAAGAACTCATTATCTCAAATACGGATATTTTCAAGTATCTCAGTCATATGAACAATCATGTACCTCACTTATAAACGAAGCAAAATTATAAGCATCAAATAGAACTGTAAATCCATCTTTTGTTTTCCAATGAGGGCCTCAATTTAATCTTGAACCTGAATTCGCCATTCATATAATCCAGTAAAGCCTCAATTTCAGATACAAATCTATTATGTTGGCTTAGGCAAAATGACATGAAGCATCAAATTCTAAAATAAAGTATCTGATGTATGATTCATGGGATAACAAAATGCGTATACCTGTCTTATATATGAATGATGTGTCCGATGTATGCTACAAATGCTAAGATACATTAACACAGTATCGATGAGAGTCCATCAGGCAACATAATGCATCTGATATGGAAATGGATGTCTCATTCACTAAGTATTGTGCAAGATGGATCAATATGTTAAGTATCTCAATGCAATAAAAAATCTAACCGCAGGTCAACAAAAGAATAATGAAAAACCAGAGAAATAATTACAAGGCAGAACTTGTTAATGAGGTTCAGAGACCAATGTGATTACCTACATCCTTGGAGTACGACCAGGTTAGGATTCCACTACTAATCAATGAAGGATTACAACCAATCTTCCAACCCTAATCTCACCTCCTTCGAGTCTCTATTTTTATCTCCTCTGGATACAGTAAATAATAGGCGACTAAAGATGCATATTTATAACAAAGGGTTTATATCTACAAGGCCAAAAACACAAAAGTTCTTGCACCATATAAACTGTGAATTCAATTTTTTTAGGCATTCAATTTCGGGGTGCAAGTATTCTAGGTGTCCAATTTCATCTCCCTGTGATATGTATTCTCCACGTAAAACAGGCCCCACAAACAACATTATCCTTGTCCACGTTTATAGATTAAATGATACCCTACTCCTATGATACATCCACATAGAGGGTGGAGCTGTATAAACTTGGCCTAGCGCATTGCTTCTGGTATCAGGTTTTCTGAAGTTGTAGAGCTCCGGCTTGTTTGGTTGTTTGACACGCGGCAAAATCAACCGTAGAACTCTCTCTCCTGATAATATCTCCAAAGCATTGTTCATATTCCAACTGAATCCTCAACCATCAGGCCTTAAATATCCTCTTGAACAAGTACCAATGAGTCCTGGATCCCAAGGCTCAGGACAAGATGTGTGCTCGAATCCTAACAAAGTTTACGAGCACAGTGCATATGATATATATATATCTGATGAACGGTGAGTCCCATATGAGAGGAACAACAGATGGATGGAGATGGAGATGGAGACGGGGGAGTTCTTCAATGAGGATGGAGATGACGGAGAGGTGAGCATGAGTTTGAAGGAAGTGACATTCTGGATTCAAAGCACGTACGGGCTCGTCGTTGAGGGCATGCATTGATGTGAGGCCTAGTAAAGCGAAAATGATTTGCAGAAGCTTGAGTTTTATCAATGTTGACGAGAGATGCAAGGTATTTGTTGTTTATATCCAGAAGTGTATGCAGTTTTCATAGGAGGCTTGTTGTATATTGCTTAGTCTTTGTATCGAATGTAAGAGGTCTTGTACCCTTTTTTTTTTTGTTTGGGAATGGTGTTCGCAAGCGTGTATTTGTTGATTTTCTTTAAATAATTTTTGCTCGCAACGCTGTGGATCTTCTCTATCGTATAGTTGACATATTGAATCATAATTGTTTTATTAGTGGATGATCTTGAGTAAAAAAAGGAATGAATATGATTCACAAAGATTTGATGATACCTATGAGGTGGATGAAATGAGCGTACGCTATCAACAAGAGGTATCACACTCTTTGCTTTAGCAATGTTGTTTGCGTGCATATTTTGATAACCGTTCAAAATTTTAATTGCAAGCATAATACCTGGATTCTGATCCTCTTCATCGTAAATAGATAGTAGAGGCTTCATCTCTTCAAAATCATAATCATTATTATTTAGTAGAAAACTATGATTTATCTAAAGTAAAAAGTGAAAACGAACACAATTCAGGACGCACGATGGCAATTATATGTTTGAGGGTAAATCGTGGATAATCTCCCTTCGTCTACCTTCAGTAGTAGTACTTAATACCTTTCAATTCAAGTGATAGAGGGGTCCAATTGCAATTTAACTTTTTTGGGTGGTAATTGCTACTAAAATGGTTGAGAAATTATGAGTAAAATACAACTGAAGGTATAGATGAGGAGTGCAATTTCTCCCTTTTAAATGAAAATCTTGCATAAATAATGTTAGAGGCACACCACCCACCACAACCCCAACCACACTCCCCACCTCATTGCTACAGTAAACCGGGCCCCACATGGGATTTTAAAAATTTAAAATCCCATGTGGGGCCCGGTTTACTGTAGCAATGAGGTGGGGAGTGTGGTTGGGGTTGTGGTGGGTGGTGTGCCCCTAACACCACTCATCTTGCATACAACGTAAGAATTGAAACTTCATAAATATTCACTCCAGTTATCTCAAGTTTTGCGCATATTTTCCGACAGCCCAAGAGCCCAAATGGACCCGAACCTTGCTCAATTTTACCATCAAACCATTCACTATGGGCCCATATAAAAAGTAAAAACAAGCAACTATAAAGGACACAATCGACATCTCCCCGATCCAAACCCATCCCCTTTCTCTCTCTATCTCTCTCGTCACTCGCCCCCTTTCTAGGTTTTCGTTCTTCCCCCAAATCTCTCACGATTATAATCATAAAATCTGAATAAATTCCCTCCATTGAATCGTTTTTCCTCCAAATTTCTAGGGTTCCGATCGAATTTTCAGCTCATTTCTGCTTGGATTGCGGAGCAAGTCTCGAGTTCGATCTCCACCTAGTGTTTTTTTTATACTTGATTGGTAAGCTTAGTATCATTCCATTCTCTCTCCTATGGAATATCTTTTTGTTTAATTTTTTAGAAAGATAGAATCTTTTGTAGGGTTCTTGCGAATAAATTGTTATACTTGAAAATTTGAGCTAAACTAACTAGGGCTTATTCGTGGTCTTTTCGTATGTTTGTCAGTTTTTGGGATCACCTATAGCTCTATCTGCTAAAAAAACAGTTTTGATGTGAAATTTGAAATAAAGGCAAGATTTTGGTATTATTTTCGCTTTTGCCACTCGGTATACAGTTTTATGCAATCTAAATACTTTGCAGGTACAAAACTACTTCAGAGTTAGATCATTGGAGATTTTATGGGTTGAATGAAAGTAGTAGGGCAGATCTTATATAATTTTCATGGGGGACCATCAGTTACCCATTGGTGCTCAAGATCATAACTTGCTTGGTGTTCCAGACCACAATTTGCTTGGTGTAGAAGATCATGGTTTAGTTACTGGCCAGGAACATAATTTCGTTAATACAGACTACACTCTAGTTATTGGTCAAGAGTTTCCCGATGTAGAAACTTGTCGAAGGACACTTAAAGACATAGCCATTGCCCTACATTTCGATCTCAGGATCGTGAAGTCTGATAGAAGTCGGTTTATTGCCAAATGCTCAAAAGAAGGGTGTCCATGGAGGGTCCATGTAGCTAAGTGTCCTGGTGTCTCTACTTTCACAGTAAGGACTTTGCATGCTGAGCACACTTGTGAAGGGGTTCAGAATTCTCATCACCAACAAGCTAGTGTGGGTTGGGTCGCTCGATCAGTCGAAGCCCGAGTGAGAGATAATCCACAATATAAGCCGAAGGAGATTCTCCAGGATATCAGGGAGCAGCATGGTGTTGCTGTGTCTTATATGCAAGCTTGGCGTGGGAAAGAACGAAGCATGGCAGCAGTCCATGGTACTTATGAGGAAGGGTTCCGATTTCTTCCTGCGTACTGTGAGCAGATTAGGAGAACAAACCCTGGCAGTATAGCACTAGTTTATGCCACTGGCCAAGAAAACTGCTTCCACCGCCTTTTTGTATCATACCGGGCTTCTATTTACGGGTTTCTTCATGCTTGTAGGCCACTCCTGGAGATTGATAAGGCTGATCTCAAGGGAAAGTATCTCGGGACTTTGTTATGTGCTTCAGCTGTTGATGCTGATGACGCTCTGTTTCCATTGGCTTTTGCTGTTGTGGATGCCGAGAGTGATGATAATTGGATCTGGTTTTTGTCTGAATTAAGGAAGCTTATCTTAGTAAACACGGATAAGATGCCTGTATTGACAATACTGTCAGAGAGGAAGAAGGGCATTGTGGAAGCTGTTGAGACCCATTTTCCTAGTTCTTTTCATGGATTCTGCCTTCGCCATGTTAGTGATAGCTTTCGTGAAGAGTTCAAGAATACAAAACTACTCAACCTTTTTTGGAATGCTGTATATGCGCTGACTGCAGCTGAATTTGATGCAAAGGTGGCTGAAATGATGGAAGTTCAAGATGTCATGCCTTGGCTCCATCTCTTCCCACCAAGCCTCTGGGCTGTTGCATACTTTGAAGGCATACGATATGGACACTTTGCACTGGGCGTTACAGAGTTACTGTACAATTGGGCCCTTGAAGGGCATGAGCTTCCAATAGTGCAAATGATGGAACACATAAGAGAGCAATTAACAGTTTGGTTTCATGAACGTCGCAACATAGGTATGTCTTTGGGTTCAATCCTCGTGCCCTCTGCTGAGAAACTTGTCTCGGAAGCTGTAACCGATTCACGATGTTACCAAGTTCTCCGTGCAAATAAAGTTGAGTTCGAAATTGTTTCATCAGAGAGAACAAATATTGTGGATATACAAAGCCGGTGCTGCTCATGTCGTCGTTGGCAAATGTATGGTATACCATGTGCACATGCAGCAGCTGCGCTTCTCTCCTGTGGTGAAGATGTCCGTCTCTATGCTCAAGAATGTTTTAGTGTGAGGAAGTACTGTGAGGCTTATTCACAAGCAATACATCCCATTCCAGATAGAGGTATGTGGAAGGAGCTTGCTGAAGGAACAGAAGGAGGCGGTAAAACGGATATTATTATACGCCCACCTAAGACCCGGAGGCCACCTGGTCGCCCTAAGAAAAAGGTTCTTCGGTTGGAAAGTTTGAAGCGTCCAAAGAGGGTTGTTCAATGTGGACGTTGTCATTTACTAGGACATTCTCAAAAGAAATGCCCAATGCCAATCTAATAGTTTTGAGCATCCAGTGTTCTGTTTAATGTTATTGCTGTTCTTATAAATTGCAATTGCAGTAGAAATAGCAGTCTGTCCTGGCATGCAACTGTGCAAGCCTTTCTGACCTATCTGATCGTGAGTACATTCTACATTTAGTTACATTCTGGGAATTTGTCTTTTCATGGAAGTCAAGCTTTTAATGACTGTATGTGCTTTTGACATCATCCAAAACCCAGGATTTGGCTTCCTTTTTTTCCTCTCTTGTATTGTTCTTTACAGTGAAGAGTGAAGAAATATAATGTAGCTGTGTGCAAGCTTGGTGATCAGACGTGCTGTTTTCAGCCTGTTAACTGGTAAGCTTAAATTGTTTGTTATCCTCCATTGTATCGCAAGACTTCCAATTTCTCCTTGTATCCTCATTATTTTGTTTGTCAAAGTATATAATTCTCTTATAGTTCTATAAGCTGACTTTATTTTAGCAACTTTTTCCCCCTTGTGCTAATTCTATGTATACAAAAAGACAAACCAGGGTGCAAATATACTTCATGTCCTATGTTTCTGTATTTCTGGTTTTTAAGTTATCCTTCACTGTCGTAATTGTTTGATACAACAAAAAACATAGAGGAACCTCCTCCTTGATGCACTTTTCTTGTTGTTTAACTTCGTTCTGCGTATTGATTTGAATACTTTGCCTCTCACTAGTCACTACTCCATATATGATGGTGTGATATAGCCGTACAGTGATTCCCCTTGTTTCCTTTACCTTTTATATTGATATACCTAGTCAAATTAAGCTAAAAAAATGCAATTTGGTTGGTCTTTTTCTCAGAGTTTTCTTTTACTTGATTACACCCAACATTCTACAATTGGGAATGGTCACACATTGTTATATAAGTTTTGAATCCTTCTTGGGAGATGGAGTGCAGTGCATACTCCATAAGATAGAAATGAATTAAAAAGTTTGGATACTTTATTAGAACACAGCAAATATGTATCACATATATGGCATGTCATGGAAAACTCATCTGTAACATTTACACAAAGAACATGCTCTGTGGTGGGTGGAATTTTTGGAGCAATACCCTCCATCTGTCATGTGTATTGCTTCTAGGTCTCCTCGACCTTTAAATACTAAGTGCATCCCCTCAATTTCCTTTTTCCACTATCATTCAACACATAATATGAGAAGTCTGATTACCTGCTTTTCCATGTTGTGAAACTCAAAACTATTTTGATGGCGCGCGTTGGAATAGTTAGAAAGATGTCTTTGGCTTCTAAAATTTACGTAAAACAGATGGGCCAAAGAATGTTTATTTCCATGGATTTGTTAGAAATCCGTAAAATGGGTGGGCCAAAAGATGCTCTTTATTTATCAGAGCAGCTTTTCAAAGCAACTTTCAGTGTTTGTTTTTAGATAAAATATACTAGCCAAAGTTGTGGAATTTTCTGTCATCTCAGCAAAAGTTGGTGTCAGAATCCTTTTTTTAAATGGATTTACTGGGAAATTGGGAAATGTTGTTTATGAAAAAAAATTGTGAACCTCGCATCCCATTGTGAGAGGAGAGTGAATAATTAAGGTAATTGATGGGATTCAATGAACATTTACGATTTTTCCATTTTCTACTGAATTAAAGAAGAGAACTTTACAAAAGCTAGAATTGGGACATTTCGTTATCTTCTTCTTCTTGTCCTTCCTTTTTTTTATTTTTTATTTTAATTTTTTTGGGCATTTTGTTATCCAATTTTCAAAGCAAAACACAAATTGGTATGGGAACCAAAAGTGAGGAATTCTGGAACTGGCTATATTGCAATTGTAATTTTGCGGCAAGCAGGTTCCAAGCTGATCTCTCCTTTTTCCTCCACCTTTCTATGAAGTATCTAGCCTCAGTTGCTTTTTCCAAGGCAATATGTCCTGGTTCATTGTAACTAGGTGGCTAGGCATCCGCTGAATATGGCTCTCTCAGTATTGGATTATTTTGTGACATTGCTTTCGCTCTGAGCAACTCTCAGTTGAAAATGAGAAGTTGAGAGCTGAAACAGGAGTATTGATCTTTTAACTAGATGGAACATAAGAATTTTGAAGGAAGCACCGGTTTAAAAACGGCTTTATCCATGTTGTACCACCAAATAATTTTCATCTGTGCCTAATCTGTACATATCCCGACAAAGGGCAACCTCGAGCCTGAATGCTTTAAGCTACAGTTTTAGAAACAAATCATTGGAGGCTTGGAGCACAATTTTTCTTTGCCCCCCGAGGAAGCATATTGTTTAATTTCAGCACACTTTAATATTCTAATGCTGATGTAAGCGTGCAAGCTCTGTGCCTCACTTCATAACAATTGATAAGTTGAAAAGGCTTGTCAAAGCTATGTCTATTACTTCTATTGATCGTATTGTGCAAGATGTGCTTTGATGATATTCTTTGCTGCAATTTTTTCAGAACCATGCACTCCTTCAGATAAGTTACAAACTCATGTAGGTGTTGTATGTCCATGAAGAGCCTTGAGATTTTGCTTTCAGCGTTAAACTGAACGATGATGGTGAGTGCCCCTTTCTGTGGATCATTACGATGAATATCAGGTACTCAATTGAGTTTGTTCCACAAAAGAAGATAAAATTCAGTACTGACATACGTATCCTTTGTTTGCAGTGCTTGTATAAAAGACAAATCTTTTATGAGCTTTGAGATGAAATTGAGAAGACAGCCAAACCCTTGTGTACTTCAATAATCTATATTTGGCGAAAACAATGCGCTTGTTTTCCTGCAGAGTTTATCGGCAAAATAGTGCTTGTTGTTTACTGTTAGTATATCTGTTCTTGCTTGCGAATGTGTAGACCGGAAACAGAAACACTCTTTGATTTCAAATCAGTGCTTCTATTCCTTAATAGAGGAAGAAGTTGAGGAACTTGGTATCGCGCCGCTGGGAGTTGAATGGGAACTTCAAAAGCTCAAATTGCTATTTTGTCTCTCTTTGAATGGAGCTTTTTCATCTTTGATTCTTCTTGGCCCTCCTGGATCTCTCGTCCATTATGCCCTGGACTAATAAATTCTCTCTCAGAATTGAGGTACTTAGTGAGATAAATATCAGTGGAAGTACGTTATAAACTTCATCTTCAGTTTTTAAACAAACTTATTGCAACTATCTGTGAATCTAAACCCAAGGGAAATTCTTTGGTATTAAAATACAAGAACTGTATATCATGAAGCCAGTCAGAAAAGATTCCATTAGTGTCGGCTGAACATTATAAACAACAAGGTCACATATTCATATATTATAGGTATAACATATAACTGACATGTAGCTGACCACGATCCAAACTCATTAAGCCCGATTGATTCAAAATCCTCTTACATACACAACAAAATATTTGATACAAGGAAACAGCTGCAGTCTGTCTCCATTAGTCAAAAAGAATTTTTTTTAGGTCTTTTTTTCAATAGTTGCGACTAGTGTTGAAACATACATACAACGCAGTAGCGGAAATTGCATATCATGTAGATTAATCAAAATTAATTAAAATCTAGAAGAATATCTGAAATGATTTTCGAATTTCTTCGATAATCTGTCCCAAGATCAATACGAAATAGCTTCCTCAAGAGAAAAAACATTCAACTGAAATCCACTCGTCACCGAAGAGGAGTAATACTTTGAGATAGGTTCTCAAAATCTATTTTTCTTTTTTTTATTTCTTTTACTTCTTCCTTTTTTTCTATAATGCTACATATGAATCTTATATATAGGATTGTACCCGCTTTATAGATTTCAATTTTAAAACAATTCTTAATTGTTTAAATAAAACTCTATCCATAACATTTAAAGATAAAATATTCTTTCCATAACAATTAGGATAGAAATAGTATTGTGTTACATGTAAACATCTTCTAATGACATTAGTGAGACCAATTGGGTCACATATTGAGAACCAATTATTAATCAAATTAATAATTTTAATTTAACAATCAAATCCCTATCCGATCAACTGTTCATGAGAACCAATTATTAATCAAATTAATAATTTTAATTTAACAATCAAATCCCTATCCGATCAACTGTTCATAAAAGCTCTTCCATAATATGATTAATAATTTTAATTTAACAATCAAATCCCTATCCGATCAACTGTTCATAAAAGCTCTTCCATAATATGTGATTAAATATCCGTGAATAATATTATCTTACATTCAGTCCCTTCCAATATCAATTTATTTTAGGCAACTTTATTGAGCAGGACTAATCACTTATTTGCTCATTCCTAAAATTACAATCCTATGAGCATAAATAAAAATCATTTTGAAACATCAAAATATTTTATTTTATAAGAAAATAAATTTAGAAAAATAATTTTTAAAAATCACCCGTCGACGGGAATTTAATATCTTCATGGGATATGAATTATAAATTAACTCATAAAAATGAGTATACTGAATCCTATCTAGATATCCATCTTTTCATTAAATGAAATCTAATAACCCAACATTTCAGGTTGTATAACACTTATAAAACAAGCTTAACAATCACATCAAAGTATACTAAATTATGAAATCGAAAATGATAATATCATCAAGTCTAAGGGACCACGTAACAATTCAAATTCTCTATCTCTTAGGTGACTCTTCCTAGAGAATCCAAATAAGGTTTTGTGCTACACATATCAAATATGCGCTTATGACATACACCCAGGGAATCTTCATTCCCGATAGCTGAGATCAACCATCACATCTCATTTATCGTTGTCATGCATAATAACTTGTTATAACAAAGTTATCATTTGCTAGTTATAGATTAAGCACAAATTTAAGAAACCTCTGAATTAGATCATATCTCCAAACAAGTAACCATCACAGTGCATGATCTAACAAAATAATTTCTAAGGATAATATAACAATTATATAAAAGATAACAAAACAACATGTGCAACAATAAAACTTAATTAATATTCAATAAAAATGTATTAGATGTTTAAGGGCATATAACACTACTCTAACAACTAGGATGTGACAATAACTTTCATCTGAAAGGTGGTAGATGAAATAATAATGTGGTACATGCTTGGCTCAATCTTTCCCTCTTCTGCTTTCATTTTCTTCTCCCACCTGCGTGTCTGAAAAGAAAAAAGTGAGGGAAAAAAAGAGAATGAGATCAGCAGATGCTTAACAGAAACAACATGTTGACCAGCTGAAGCTAT